ACAAACAATTGCAGGCAATGACAAGGGTACCTACTTAAAGAGTATCAGTGATTATCTATTAAATTATATTAATTATATTAATTGTATATGTATAAGTCCACTATTGCATGCCGTGGCAACCTATAATTAAGGCAGCACTTAGATTAAGTTAAATACGTTGTAAATATTGATTGTCTTCCAGTGTATGTCTTGTTGGTTGTCCTATTAAATAAATAAATAAATAAATTATGATGTTTGTTTAGCCAATTAGCAAGTAGTTATGTTGAGGCTGTGGGAATTGGAAACGCCGCGACAAGTGTGACGGTGCTCCTGAAGACATCGACCATTGTGTGCAGAGTGTGTCGTAGAGTCTAAGATTCCGCAAATTCCGATTGATTGATAGGTAGACCTAGTTTTCTTTACTTTCAAGAATGTAGACCCATGGGAGATCTAGGCTAGTCAGGATTTAGCTAGACCGATTTATAATTATTTTGCGATATGATCGCCCAATAGTTAAGTAACTCAAAAAAAATTCTGAGTAAAAAATGTTTGTGGCCAACATTAATTGGCACCAGTTACCGATTAAGTATCGCAAGCCACTGTGTTATGTTAATAGCATGATTTAGGTTAATAATGTTTTTACTTCATAATCTTTAATTGCATGTAATATGNCTCCCTTACTACAATTACAAGTGCGGATAATTTAATTATGATTGCGATGTGAAATAATCGACAAATCTATCAAATAGCGATTTTGTAGAGAAAGTCAAAATGGACTTTCTTTTGTTCAATCTCCTTTCAAAAGGTTATTAGGTATTTTATTTATAGAATCAAGCTGTTAGCTTAGTAGAATAGCTTTCACTGTAGTAGAATAGTCTTATTGATACTAGATAAAAAGAAATGTATTTTATTTGTTATGTACAGGAACGTAACACATGATCCTTTATTAGCACAATTCCTTGAACAGACTTGAACGTGTGCATCGTAAGGTTATGTGCCGTATTAATAATACTATTATTTCTACGACCACAAAAATGCAATGACAAGGGTACCTACTTAAAGAGTATCAGTGATTATCCATTAAATTATGATGTTTGTTTAGCCAATTAGCAAGCAGTTATGTTGAGGCTGTGGGAATTGGAAAAGCCTCGACAAGTGTGTCGGTGCTCCTGAAGACATCGGCCATTGTGTGCAGTGTGTCGTAGAGTCTAAGATTTCGCAACTTCCGATTGATTGATAGGTAGACCTAGTTTTCTTTACTTTCAAGAATGTAGACCCATGCGAGATCTAGGCTAGCCAGGATTTAGCTAGAGCGATTTATAATTATTTTGTGATATGATCGCAGAATGGTTAAGTAACTAAAAAAAATTCTGAGTTAAAAATATTTGTGGCCAACATTAATTGGCACCAGTTACCGATTAAGTATCGCAAGCCACTGTGTTATGTTAATAGCATGATTTAGGTTAATAATGTTTTTACTTCATAATCTTTAATTGCATGTAATTAAATATCATATTTAATTATTCATTATTATGCACTNGTAATATGCGCATTAACACATTCTGCGGTTTTCGATTTCCATTACGTGAACAGAATATTAGAAACAAAACACACAATTTTGTATTTAGTATTAGAGATCAAATCGGCTGCTCTATCAAATGCCATGCATTACCAATTTACACACACACACAGGATTTTTTTAGTCTACCCAGAACATTACGTAATATGTTTGTATTATGTTTGTAATAAAAGAGGAAATATTACTTATTATATAGCGGTGATTTAATACATTAAGTTCCTAACTCAGCTTTGTTTGCATAATTAGAATAATATGGTCTTGATGACAGCGCCATTAAAGTTTGAGGGCCGCTGGCCGCCACTTAGTTTGGTTTAATTACCACGTAACAGATTAGACCATAATGGTGGGAATGGCTCAAAACCGTCTAAGCGATGAATTAATGTTTTCACGTCTGGCGTGTTCTCTTCGAGTGACTACATAAACACTTAACCAAAAGCACATTCGAATTGGCCAAGATTTTATTCGGAATTCAGTAATTAAACTCAAGGTAAAGATTGATTCTAAAAGAACATTTTGCTGTTATGTTATAATACGAATTTACTTTAAATAACCTTTACAATTAAGGCGTTAATTGGGTTTGCTTACATGAACGCTGAAAGCAATTCACTGACTTTATGCATAAATAGGTAGTACATAATTATTATCTTAGGTAAGAAAGCACTTAAAATCTTTGCGTTTGGCAAATATTATCCTGCCTACAGTAAGTAAGCGTACAAATATTGGACTATGTAGATTGTAGAGTCCCAAACATGACTTTCAGCTCGTAGGGACTAACATAGTGCTTTTCATAATCTTTTGATACCTTATAAACTCATACTATATGAAAAGAATCTATGCCAGTTTTTTCTTCTTACTTAATACGGCCAATTTACCTACGTCTGACCAAACTTGCCCGTGCACTACCGTGTGCTTTCATTGTAATTACGCGCAATTATATTTTTATCAACATCCTGGACAGAATTACATGATATTTGGATAGTATTAGTGGTATTAATTCATAATATTAGAATTTTTTTATCAAAACAGATTTTGATACACACCAAACTCTATTATTTATCCATACTAATACTACATACCACAGAGAGAGAAGTGCAATTATCTACATAAGAAAATAGGCTTTATTAACGTTGTTTTTCCCATTCAAATGTTTAGTACCTGTAAAGAGGTTTTATCCCATAAGTCGTGTGGCTTTATTAAATTTTAATTGATTCATTGTTGGGATATCGGTTGAAAGTAGAACGTTCTCAGGTTACGAAAGCTTGTTTCACCATAATAGTGTTACTTCATGCATTTATCCAATAAGTTAAAATGGTAACACTCGGTATACTTATGGAAATTTACAGCATAAACTGCCGGTTTTTTTAATTATCTCTGTATTCTGTAAGAGATTATTGCGACATTTTGGACTTGCTTATATCTCGCTAAACATAACATACTATGCCATAAAACAGAATATAATTTGACGATAAGGTACAACTTATTCTGACTTGCGGTTGTAAGTGAGGTGACGGTGTTATACTGGTTACATGCGTATACAAATTATTTAAAGCTAGACTGGGGATTTTTTAAACGTTTTTTTTTTAATTTGTTACTGCCCAATAAACTTTTTCTACTCTATTCTATAGCTAGACTTAACTTCAAATTGTATTACCTGTGATGGCAGATTAGGAAACACTAATTAATTACTAGACTAAAACTACAACATAAATATCATTAGTGTTTCGGTAGGTGTGCTAATAATTTTACTAAAAATAATTAGCATCATTAATTATATTAAATATCATAGAGTGAAGTACTCGTAATTAAAAAATAATACAGCTACACATTAAGAAATTCATGATAACTAACAACAGAAACTGGTAACACTATTGTATAATCTGTCATCGTAGATTCTGTACTTTATGTACAGATATTTTCCTATAAAAAGTGCATGAAAGGTAGAGTCATAAAACTGTAGATAATGCAGTTAATGCAGTACAACCGGACGAACAGGCACAAGCAGGATGCGTTTATGCAAATGTATCGAGTACTTATGCATGCATCTCTATAAATATTTTACATGAATACTTGTATACCTAGCAGGTTACCGAATGAATAACGGCATAATTATAACCTCTTGATATGATTTTTGCATAAATTAGTAACATACAAAACGTGTAGCATTACATTATGAAATCTGTGAAATATTAAATTATTTCCGTAATCGCTATAATTACAGACTTCGATTAAAAGTTATAAAACATTCGCATGGTTGTGAAACGCTTAACCCTTTACGGCGCAATAACGTATTTTATTATTNTTAATTAAAAGTTTAAAATTAATTAGTTTGAAATCGCACATTTTCTGAACATCCATCTTCTAATAAGTGAATTAAAAATAATAAGGCGAGCTAACTGGCAGAAAATCATCTGATATTAAATGTTCAGCTTCTCTCATATCGGTGCTTGGCTGCGAACGTAATACGTAACGTCACGTAACATGTCAGTATTACAGAGATAGATAAATAACTTTTATTTTTCCGTCTTAAAGTCAAGTAATAAGTTGAAAGATGTTTCGATCGGAGTAAGTGAAAATGTAATACTTTTTAAACAACGTGAGCAGCGCACCTGAACTGCAACGCTCCATCTGCGCGAGCGCATAGTGATGTATCGATTTCGTGCCACAACGATTCTGGGGTAATGCCTGAGCGATAACTATAACCAATTTCAAAAAATAATAGGTATCTAAATGGCGAAGAAATTGAGTATTCTAATGACTTTTTTTTAAAAGCACAATATTTTTATGGTACATAACTAGGTTAATCAATAAAACGGAACATCATTTCACGTAAGTGATTCTTTGTTTGATCGTTTATCAATTTTCAGAAAATCATTTTTCCCTATTGAATTTTCTTTGAAATTTTAGGACCGTCCGTTTTGTTATAAATTACACGAGCCTACACCGACGGAATCTCTAATTACGCGACTTCACTAGTAGCACTCATCAGCTTTCATTACTTTCCGGACTTAATCATGCTCAAGTCAGTTATTTGTTATTGAATTTTACGGTTAGCGGCCGCTGCCGAGTTATGGGAGCGATTTAAATCCATTTGCAAGTAATTAGCGAGATGTGGTGCATTCTACACACAACAGACCCAATCAAAGAAAGATAATGTAGGTTTCATTGGCAACGGCGAGCACGTTATTATTGCAATTTGCTACCAAGTAAGCTACCTACCTATTTTTAAACGAATTTCAGTGTGAATCGAACGTTAAAAGTGCGTCTAAGAGAAAGCAGTTAAGTATGTTTAAACTGCGTTTGTATGTACGTATGTGTGTTATTATGTTCATATTGTGTATTTTAAGACAAAAGAAATGCGAGGGTAGATTTAAATGAAAAGCGAAAATTTATAAAAAGTTACTATTTTTTTCGAAAGTTTCAGTTTTCCTTACGTTAAATGCGCTTTAATTTCGTCAGGTTCTCTTATTTTAAGGTTTTCTCCCAGTTTTGGGGCTCGGCTTGCGATAGCATCGCATGATGAGGTGCATGTCGTAGTACGACATGTGGTGGAATGAGAAGTATTCGGGATTTTTGTACATGCAGCACTTGCCAGCACCGAGGCCGAGAACCTGTAAAGGTAAAATCAGGAATCTTGTATGCTGTCGCGAAAGTCTATGGCTACGGCCGTATACTCGCGACACCACTCGGGCGATGACAGAACGCGCGAACTAATGAAGTTACTGATATGAAGTCGATTGATTGCCCTTACATGATGAATATTATTGCAATTTTTTTACTTACAAAACTGATAAATAAATAACACAGATACTAACTTCGCAATCAGTATTTCTGAAAACCCCAGTCGGTATGTGTGGTAATGGTTCAAAACACATGCCTACGTCGTTTTTTGGTAGACAATGGCCATACTTGCGTTGCTGAAAAATTAAGTAATTATTTCATTTCACACTAAAGGCAAGAAAATAAAAGGTTTTCTTAGTGTATTACAAAACAGACAGGGTAAAAAATTTAATACTTTTTAAAGTACCTATTAATTAATCAAGCGTGAATATAAAAAAAATACTATTGCTGCATGAAAGGCTGATTTATTAGATATTTTTTTTATCTAATTAGACAGTACTAGAATATTGGTATTATAATAGCCGTTACTCACATCGTATACTGTAGGACTCGATGGATTGTTATCAGATTTATCAGATTTGTCAGATTTGTCAGGCGGAGGGCAAGGGCTGCAACTCCAGTCACAAGGTCCACAAGGTCCGCAAGGCCCACATGGCCCACATGGTCCACATGGTTCACATGGTCCGCATGGTCCGCACGGTCCGCATGGTCCGCATGGTCCGCATGGTCCACAAGGCCCACAAGGTTCACAAGGCTTACAAGGCTCACAAGGCCCACAAGGCCCGCAAGGTTTACAAGGCTCACAAGGCATACAAGGCCCGCAAGGCTTACAAGGCTCACAAGGCTTACAAGGCTCACAAGGCCTACAAGGGTCTCCCGATTTACCAGTGCTTGAACCAGAACTTTGAGAACTTGACTTATCGGAGCTTCCAGAACTACAAGTTTTTGAAGAATAACACACTTTTAATTGCTTATAAGGAACGCCTTTTGAAAAGCGCGTTAAAATGCTACCTTCACAATATGCTAGGCCCGATTTGCACATAGGCGTTATGATAAATCTGCACATACGCGACATTGCTTTGAAGTTTTAGCTGGCGTTTGATTTCCTTTTATAGATTTTGTAAAGTTAGTGAGTTTTGTGGTATGGTTTCGGTTTTGTTTACATAATGTCGAGATTAATTATCTTAACTTACATTTCTATGGGTTTAATTTGGATTAGATTTGGGCTATTTTTTTTTGTTTGACTGTTTGTCACTTTTCAGTTGTCAGACCCTATTGACCACTATTGACAGTGATATAAAATGACCTCGGGGCGCCACCGTCAATACCAGTTCTCTGGTTCCGATTTTTGCCATGTTGGAAACTATACAGTTATAGTTCCAAAATACTGGACTGTCCTGTCGATGACATTGACAGTGGGGCGCCACCGTCAATACCGGATCGCTGGTTCAGATTTTTGCCATATTGGAATCCATATAGTTGAACGATGGTAGCGCCCCCCTGTCATTGAGTTTGGTGGGACAGTTCAGCGTGGTTCATCTATAAACGAGCCCCCTGTCAATGAGTTTGGTGAGACAGTTCAGTTTATATGTCATCTATAGCGCCCTGTTGTCAATGTCACGGTTCATTATCGGACATCTTTAGTTTTTGAGGAGGGCGCTACTATCAACTAGGGATGTTATGGATTATGTAGTTTCGTTTATGGATACGGTTACGGATATCGGAATAATATTATACCGGTTTCGGTTACGGATATTTTTTTATTTCGCATATCCGAAAGTTTCGGTTACGGTTACGGATATCTGTGCTTTAGAATGCAATTTGTAATAGTTGTACAACAAGGTTCATTCATGGCCGCACACTTTACATAGAATAAAAATAAAAAAATAAAAATTGATGCTAGATGGCATTATAAGCTAAGCGTGTGCAATGCGTACGATGCGGACAGGTGGACGCACTTATATGAGTTTCATTATAAATAATACTACGATCCGTTGCGTACGATACGTTCGATGCGTACGATACCGACATGTGGACGCTTAGTTTTAAAGGTAAATCAGGCTGTTATGCCTTTACATATAATGCTATACAAAAAACAATTTAAACTATCTACATCCGAAATTATCCGAAACTTTTGAATCGGTTACGGTTACGGTTTCGGATATTTTTTTTATTTCGGATATCCGAAAGTTTCGGTTACGGTTACGGATATCCATAACATCCCTGCTATCAAAACTGAAATAATGTATGTATAGATATACAGTGTGAGTCACGTTAAAGTGTACATATGAAAACAGATGAAACTAGACCTATTTTTATCGACAAAAAAGAGGTCAAAAAATTTTTGAGATTTTTTTTTATTTTTTTATAGAATTTTTTTTCTTCCAATTACGTATTGTAAAGAAAACGTAATAACTTTTAAACTAAGCGGTATATCCTGATAGAATAAAAACAGTGATAATGCTAAATAACAGGCAATACTAAAAAAATACATAAAATACACAAAAAATGCCAACAAATAATAAAAAATGATACTTTTTGAAAAAAATCTGCTTTAAAATTCGTGTTTATTTGGTTATTTGATAAATTTCTCCAAAATATGCCCCTATAACAGGTGATTTTTATTGTTTTGTATTATTCTCTATCGTATTACCTTTGTAAAACTAAAAATTGCATGTCTCTATCCCTATCACAACATTTGCTATGATAGTTTGAACAAAGGCCTACCACAACATTATTCTCCTCTTCAGGTAGGGACAATTTTAATTTTAACTAAAATGCTTATTTTACTTCGAAATCTTTTGTTTTTACTTGAAATCTAACTTGTCTTTATCAAAATTACAAATCTAGAGCCATTTTCAGTTTCGTTGTTAAGCGTTGAATGGCGCGCCCGGAGAGGCTTAGTTCAAACGATCATAGCAAATGTTGTGATAGGGATAGAGACATGCGATTTTTGGTTTTACAAAGGTAATACGATAGAGAATTATTCAAAGTAATAAAAACCACCTTTTATGTGAGCATTTTTTGGAGAAATTTATCAAATAACCAAAAAAACACGAATTTTTAAGCAGAATTTTTTCAAAAAGTATCATTTTTTATTATTTGTTGGCATTTTCTGAGTATTTTATGTTTTTTTTTGTATTGTCTGTTATTTAGCATTATTACTGTTTTTATTTTATCAGGATATACCTCTTAGTTTAAAAGTTATTACGTTTTCTTTACAATAAGTACATGAAAGAAAAAAAATTCTATAAAAAAATTAAAAAATAATCTCAAAAAATTTTTGACCACTTTTTTGTCGATAAAAATAGGTCTAGTTTCATCTATTTTGATATGTACACTTTAACGTGACTCACACTGTATACTGCCCTACCGGTAACTTTGACAGGGGGCGCCACCGTCAATACCGGATCGCTGGTTACGGTTTTTGCCCTTCTGACCCACCGCACTACCAAACCACACTACCAGTAGTGCCGTGGGGAATATTTTTTCCCTTCTACACTACCAAGCCAGTAGTGTCGTGGGTAATTTTTGAGGGCCTTACATCTTCATTCCCATCGACACTACTACCATAACTGAATGTAAAATTTGCAAAATTTTGGNCCCTTCGAGAGGCCACTGTGGAAAACGAAGGTTTCGTATACATAAAGATTTAGCAGGACCTCTAAAACAAATGTAGCCAGAATGATAAATTTGTAGGTGTTGTAAGTTGGACGCTACAACTACAACCTGCCGAATGTGGTCCCTCAGATGAACTATGTCAAATACGAAATTACTGAATCTGACCAACTAAGATGATTTTGATGAATGGTAATATTTAGGAGGTAAATCGTAGCCCTACCGGTAACTTTGACAGGGGGCGCCACCGTCAATACCGGATCGCTGGTTACGATTTTTGCCATGTTGGAAACTATGTGGAAACAAAGTTGAGCGATGGTGGCGCCCCTCTGTCAACGAGTTTGGTGGGACATGTGTAGGTCATCTATCACTTTGACGTCTCAGAAACGTTTGACAGCACTTTACCCACCTTGGAACAACACTAGTACCTACTTTTGTAGTACTCTTGCTTGTGGTTTGTGGATGACCTACCTATGTTTATAAAGTATGTATCCTACACTTCCTACTACAAAGTATGAATGGTCCTAAAAAGAAAAACTAAATTTAAAAAAAATATCTTTTATTCTTCACGATTAGTAAGGTATACAATAGTATTTTGCACTTTTTCTTAAGCCTTCGAACTTCGATGTGCGCCGTTGTACTCGTTAGCAGAGCTTCATCACCAACACCGGCAAGCCCGCCGCTGGACCGCCACTACTCGACGCACCACCGCCGCCCGACGAGGAGCAACCTGTGCAACATTCAGGCGTTAGCAATTTCATCCGCTCACGAGGCTGGCCTCCACCCTGGCCGCCTCCACCTCTACTTGAAGCTTGTCTAGATGCACTAGCACCACCACCTGTAAGTGGGTTGCGACCCGGCTGTATTCCAGGTGGGGTCTCGAAACAATCTGCCTTACAAGGAGCATCCCATACACATGGCGGCGGCGGCTGCCAATGTACACAACCCGGTCTCGTACAAGGCTCTTCTTTACTAACTGGCTTCGTTGCTTTCCGAGGACGACCACCCGGCCCTATTACCACGTCACTTGGTGCAAGTTCCTTGTTATCAAAGCGCTTCATTATCGTATCTAAAGTTTTCTCGTCAAATACATAAATTGACGACGACTGTGCTTCTGCTGCAGCTGCACTGCTCCCACATGGGCATTTTGAGACTTGAGGGCTTACAGCAACGGCTTTGGCTGCACCAGGTATGCTACTACAAATACAGGCTTGGCCACCACTGGAACTTTGCTTAGGAGGTGGAAACGAACTTTGACACTTACAGCACTTGCCAGACTTGTCCATGGAAGCATCTGGGACGATACCCTTGAGTTCGCACACAATGAACCTCTTGCCTCCCCCGGAACCGGAATCTGCTGCACCTCCCGATGCATTGCCGCCTTGGGCGCGAAGATGCGCTGCAAGGGGCTCAGGATCTGCGAGTCCTCGAGCGCGAGCCAACTGGCTGGGCGCACACAGTGGATCCGGCAGGACTAGACAAGCCGGCTCGCCGCCACATCCAGTGCGACGGCAGTCATGCTGGAGCCCATTGCGCTTGATGCAATGGCAGCTGTAGTACATAATCCCTCCGCGCAGTTCACGGCTCTTTGTTCGTTTAAGCTGGTTTTCTTTTTCATCCTTTTTTTCCGCGCCACCCTCCTCCGCTCTGGCCGCTCCATCAGAAGCTTTTCCTTTCTGGGAACAAAGATATCACTTTAGAAATGCTGAATTGAAATAGCCGGCCACCATTGTGAAATTTAGAATAACGTTACCAAGAGCTAAGGGCTAGGAGGCAAGGCGTCGTTCACGCTACCACTGCGATACAAGATCGAAGTCGCTGAAGCGTGTAACGTAGGTCTTGCCGGGCGGTGGCCGGCGGACGCACGGCGGACAGGGTGGCGGGCACGGCTTCGAACAGCTAGGGCCCGTCCGGCACAAGTACCGAATCGAGCCTTGCTGGAAGTAGTGGCAGTCCTGCAGTCCATTACGCTTGAACGCAGAGCGTGGCAGACACTGAAGCTGAGCATACATTCGAGTCATTAGAATACACTTTAAAATATATAGCCCCAGATGTGGTGTAGAAAGTTTGTGCTTATTAACTTACCGGAGGACCGCAGTCTTCATATTTGTAGCATATCATGGGACCGCAAGGAGTACACCTGAAAGGAAAAAATCAACATTATTAACTTGTGAATTCAAATAGACGTTAAGGAAACCAGAATAAAACTTACATGGTGGAAAATCAAGAAATCGCAGTCCTACCGAAGATGACAAAATTATACGGAGGAGGGGGTTTTTCTAAAAATTTATTGATATTTTAGCTTATACAATCATGAAAAGATTAGAAAGAGTTGTGTAGAAAAATCACTTGAAAAATTTAGAATTTTGATAAATTTGCAATTTTTTTACAATAAATACATCTGAAATAGTCGAAGTCAAAACTTCTTCTGTCAAAATGTTTGTTCTTTTGAAGTGTCTGTATTTTTGTCTTCTGAATTTAAAATCTTCTTATGTGACAGTATTTTGAGGTACTCTTGAAAAGTACGTATACGAATAAAGCTTGATATTCATGGTAATTCTTCAAACATTTTGGGTTGGGCCATCTTGAACTCTGGGGATAATCTTAATTCACTTGAGTCTTATTTACGAGGTTGCATTTTGCAAATGGACGACAATGCTTCAGCGTGAGGGTTTTTGCAATGCGTTTGGCATGCGACTTTAGATGGTTCACATAAAGGTGCCGGTATTAGTTCACATTCTGGTGAGTTTTGACAGCCACTCCTCTTACAGTCATATTGTAAGCCGTTTCGTCGCAAACAGAAACAGTCTGTGTAAAGAATTCCACCCCTGAGTTCTCGACTTTTGCTAGTCTTAACAGCGACGCAGGGTATGCACCGCCTGCATTTCACCATCGTGCTGAATCTGTCTACAAATATAACAAGATAGTTACGTATTTTATTTTGACTAATATCATTAATTAAAAAATCAAAACATTCAAATCTTTCTCCTCCTTTTCTTACCTGGTAGATCGGAATAAAAATTACTTTAAATTTTGATTTATTTTGATATTTTTAGTTAACTTAAAATTTTGTGTTACATTTGTGAACGTTATCCTAAAATAATAGAATTCCGAACTAGGGATAAAACACTATGGTCATGATTTTTACTTTTCAGCTAAAAATTAAACATGTCTAACGTATAAAAAGGATTATTGCGAATACATTCTGTTACGCCCATATCCAAGATGGTTTTATATTTTTCAATCCTAATCCTATACTAATATTATAAATGCGAAAGTAACTCTGTCTGTCTGTCTTGCTTTCACGCCTAAACCACTGAACCGATTTTGATGAGATTTGGCATAGAGATAGTTTGAGTCCCGGGAAAGGACATAGGCTAGTTTTTATCCCGGTTTTTGAAACAGGGACGCGCGCGATAAAGTTTTTCTATGACAGACAAAATTTAACGCGGGCGAAGCCGCGGGCGGAGAGCTAGTACTTTATAATTAACAGGAGACAAAGGTATAAGAATAATATACAAGTGTACATTACACTTGTATATTATTTCTATCTATACCTTTGTCTTATTATGTTATTTTTTTTACATGTAATTTGCATTTAGATACATGAATAAATGTTATCACGAACCTTATTCTAATTTTTCAGTACGACTTAGACAAGTCACGTATAGCCACGTATAGTCAGTCAAATATAGCCACGATAGCCGAACGGTGAAGGGGTCGGAGTGGCCGACTCGAGATCCGAGGAACGCGGGTTCGAATCCCACCGCCGCTCGACTATTGTGGTGAGCCCACTCGTAACACAAGCTTATTTAGCTTAACACGAGGGGCTAATGGGACTATTAGTAGTTTGGGCAATACAAATTGCTAATATCATCTTTAAAAAAAAGTTACCTACAAAACACTTCATTTTTATTATGGATTCGAGCCGTTCACACATTTTAAGTAAAACATTCAGTTTAATAATAATGATAATGAGTGATGGATTATTGATTAATGATGATGATATTATTCCTCCTTTCCCTTGAGTTTCAGTAAAGATGTGGCTCTTGAGAGAACTTGAAAAGCGATGTAGCACTGTTTTGTTTCATTTGCCTTCACTCATGCACGTTCACGAAGACTTATGGTTAATGATAATTATCCATCATTATTACACTACACATTACTAGTTGCGTAAACACAAATTTTAGGAAATTAAAACAAAACTGCTTTAAATAACGCTTCACAAAAACTTATCGTGAATAGCTTTTATGTCTGAAATTTTAAAAAGGAGGTTGTATAGACCAACATCCAGTAAAAACTCTACTTGGTTACTGGCAGTTGACAAAATGGCTAAAAAATATATTTCGAATATTGTGCACCAACTTCCACGTTCGAACCCATACAGAGATGATTTGTAGAAGTACTTTACTTAGGAAGGTCAGTACAATCAAATCCTTTGCGTGATACACATAATTTAAAAAGATCCAAAAAAAACCTCAAATCGTACAAAAATCTAAACAAGCCACAATTTCCACAAACAAACTAAGTCTTCTATAGACCTATTTTCTTTAGGCTTGACAAGTACTCCTTAACCCCAGAACCAAAATGTAAGTTCCCTCTAATTCCCTCTAGTTTCTTTTCGGTGACTCTCGAATCTTCGATTCTAGAATTGTCTAGAAGACCGCTGACTTTCATTTTTTATTCCCCAGGTGCTGCGGAGGTTGCGGACCCTGCTGCGGTGGGTGCTGCGGCGGTTGCTGCTGTCCATGCATCACCATCTACACGTGCTGCACCAAGATTTGCTAGTATCGCACGCTTGCCGTCGCGGGCGGGCCATGGACGCCCGTAGCGGTTTCTTCGGGGAACACCCGAAACTTGCTTCGTCTACGAAGTACCGTGCCGTTTTTGTGGAAAAATAAAACTACTATAAGCGTATCCCAGTTTTTTCCTTTACATCCCGAGGGCGTGACACTCAATGTAGCGAGGGCGTGACACTCAATGTAGCGAGGGCGTGACACTCAATGTAGCGAGGGCGTGACACTCAATGTAGCGAGGGCGTGGGACACTCAATGTAGCGAGGGCGTGGGACACTCAATGTAGCGAGGGCGTGACACTCAATGTAGCGAGGGCGTGACACTCAATGTAGCGAGGGCGTGACACTCAATGTAGCGAGNTCAATGTAGCCAGGGCGTGGGACACTCAATGTAGCCAGGGCGTGGGACACTCAATGTAGCCAGGGCGTGGGACACTCAATGTAGCCAGGGCGTGGGACACTCAATGTAGCCAGGGCGTGGGACACTCAATGTAGCCAGGGCGTGGGACACTCAATGTAGCCAGGGCGTGGGACACTCAATGTAGCCAGGGCGTGGGACACTCAATGTAGCCAGGGCGTGGGACACTCAATGTAGCCAGGGCGTGGGACACTCAATGTAGCCAGGGCGTGGGACACTCAATGTAGCCAGGGCGTGGGACACTCAATGTAGCCAGGGCGTGGGACACTCAATGTAGCCAGGGCGTGGGACACTCAATGTAGCCAGGGCGTGGGACACTCAATGTAGCCAGGGCGTGGGACACTCAATGTAGCCAGGGCGTGGGACACTCAATGTAGCCAGGGCGTGGGACACTCAATGTAGCCAGGGCGTGGGACACTCAATGTAGCCAGGGCGTGGGACACTCAATGTAGCCAGGGCGTGGGACACTCAATGTAGCCAGGGCGTGGGACACTCAATGTAGCCAGGGCGTGGGACACTCAATGTAGCCAGGGCGTGGGACACTCAATGTAGCCAGGGCGTGGGACACTCAATGTAGCCAGGGCGTGGGACACTCAATGTAGCCAGGGCGTGGGACACTCAATGTAGCCAGGGCGTGGGACACTCAATGTAGCCAGGGCGTGGGACACTCAATGTAGCCAGGGCGTGGGACACTCAATGTAGCCAGGGCGTGGGACACTCAATGTAGCCAGGGCGTGGGACACTCAATGTAGCCAGGGCGTGGGACACTCAATGTAGCCAGGGCGTGGGACACTCAATGTAGCCAGGGCGTGGGACACTCAATGTAGCCAGGGCGTGGGACACTCAATGTAGCCAGGGCGTGGGACACTCAATGTAGCCAGGGCGTGGGACACTCAATGTAGCCAGGGCGTGGGACACTCAATGTAGCCAGGGCGTGGGACACTCAATGTAGCCAGGGCGTGGGACACTCAATGTAGCCAGGGCGTGGGACACTCAATGTAGCCAGGGCGTGGGACACTCAATGTAGCCAGGGCGTGGGACACTCAATGTAGCCAGGGCGTGGGACACTCAATGTAGCCAGGGCGTGGGACACTCAATGTAGCCAGGGCGTGGGACACTCAATGTAGCCAGGGCGTGGAACACTCAATGTAGCCAGGGCGTGGGACACTCAATGTAGCCAGGGCGTGGGACACGGGACACTCTCTGTAGCTAGGGCGTGGGACACGGGACACTCTCTGTAGCTAGGGCGTGGGACACGGGACACTCTCTGTAGCTAGGGCGTGGGACACTCACTGTAGCCAAACGCTTGCATTTCTCTGGACGCAACATACGCTCGTGTTCGCGCGAATCCTCGCGGCAAATACACCTCAACTCTGCGGCACTCCAACTGCGGCACTCCTACACCTCAACTCTGCGGCACTCCTACACCTCAACTCTGGCTACTCTTATACCTATAGCGCACCTATTTCTCCTATTTCTATTTCCTGGCCCGATTTGAATTAACATTAATTTGAGAACTGGGCGAGGAATAGGGAATTTTTAATAATAAGAAGTTAAATCTACTCAATCCACTTTATTAACGGCACTATAACTGCATTCACAAAAGCACGGGCCCTGGCTTCAGGCTTCTTGGTCCGGGTCGACGTCGTCGAGTTGACGCTGGCGCCACGTGGGTGCGAGCCGGCCGCGGGGGGCGCGGCGTCGAATGCCGGGAGACATGCTCAGCAGATCTTGGTGCAGCATGTGTAGATGGTGATCTTGGGGCATCCGCAACCGCAACACCTGGAAAAGAAAGCATCAAGATTAGTTCACCATAGTACTCCAGAATGACATCCAACAAGTCGAAGTCCATTCCTTTCACTGACAAACCCACAACCTTTTCTAAAAGAAAAAGGTAAACAATAGGGATAAAACTTACATCTTCGTAGAGTTTTAAAAGCTGCAAAAGCAAACTTAGCTATATAGATATAAGTATATTTTCTTAAAATTATATTTTTATGCGGTCTTTAGGAAATATTTTAAAGTTTTTTTCTTGATTTTATGTTTTCTTCACGAAAGAATTTATAAAACTGAAGTTCGTTCTGAGTCAATGACGAACGATGACTTGACACATATTTAGAACTAAATTGAATTTCAAAATCAGCCAGTAACAAGACAGAAAAATATCCAAGAAGGTTTAACATTAACATCATGATCATGACAAAGTAAGGGTAATCACAAACCGATCAGGGATACGATTCTCATGCAATCGAATTTTTTCCGTATACGATCTCCTGTTTTTGACTCCAAGAAAAGTTAAACTAAAAGCACTACTGCGCCGTAAACAAATGTTTTGTTGTCGATATGTTTACATAATAAAGAACCTTAAGTTTCTTTTTTGTTTTACTTGGCATTCTAAAATTTATATTCGACTTTTGTAATTGACTTTTAAATAACATAATTATACCTACATGTAGTATATTACACTATTTAATAGAAATAATCATCACACTTAGTTACTTCGGAGTAAAAATTAAATTCATAGGTAGGTAGGTACTATCTATGCATATGGCCAGTCATGTCGTCTCGTTCTATCGAAAAGAATCACCATTTGATGAGAGCGAGAGCAAAAACGGAAATGGATAGTTAACACTGTGGCCGTGTGTACTTATTTCACTTACTTATTTTTTACTTGTTTAACATCTCTTTAAAAAATTACATAATTTTACCCCAAAAATGGGGGTGTTACACGGCGCTAGTAACACTAAAGGGGGTAGAGGGGCGCGGGAGGGGAAGTATTTTGGACACAAGTTGCCGCGTAGAAATGTTATCGAACACTCCTTCTGGTTTGTTCTGTATTCTGAGTCTACAATCTATTTTATAAAAAAATATCCTTGGTTAAATTTCTTGGTTTTATTTCACAGTTCATAGGATTATGAATTGGAGTACTTTGACAGGTAAATTCGTGTACGAATTTCAAGTTCGACTGGTACTTAGCACTCGTAGCGTTCTAGTGGTTTTCGATCGAACTTTTTCGATTGTGAACTTCTAAGATTGCACAAACGGTGTAAATAGACGAAAAAACCGAACAATACCCTTCGAATTATTTTTCGAATGTGAACTTTTTCGATTGCATGAGAATCTTTATCCCAGAAATGCAGAAAGATTACAAAAGCGAAGATTAATGTACAAAAAACTATTTTTTGATACCTGAAAGCCTGTGAAATCAAATTAAAAACCGTCGAAATTGATGCATCGACCAAATAAAAATATATTGTTTAATGAATGGGATATTTATTATTGCTTCGATTGAATACAGGTCATTTGCTTGAAAAGTCTATTAGTTTGTTGTTAGCTTGGATACAGATATTTAAACGACTGAATATGTTGAAAGTTGAATTACTGTATCGTACCGAATATAAGTTTATTAAGAATATTAATTATAATTTCTATTTTTTTATTTTCTATATTTAATTGAATCCCCTCAGGGTTCTTAGACCAAACTATCTAAATTCATGTGTAAAGAAGGCTAAAGATAGTCATGGATTCAACCAAACTATCGGCCTCTTCGGCTAATAGAAAGTTTATAGTCAGCCTAAGAAAAATAATAACTTCATGGTTAGAATCATAGACTGGCAGATTTTAAAGAAGAATAAAATAATAAACACCTGTCATTATTGACACATACATCAAAATTTCCGTGCAATTTTAAAAACAACATTTTCTAACTTATTAAAAATGTGCAGCCCTGTACTAAATTTACCGAGTTACAAAGAACCACCAGAATGCTTTCCATGTTATCGAGTTCAGGTAAAGACTTTAATTTTATTCTTCATTGTCATCATCATCCACTGTTATTCACAGCAGCCCACAGCTCATGGCGGACTGCCACAACCATGCTTGACACTTGGTTTACACTGCAAGTCACTTTTCCTTCCCGCCGACTTCGCAACCTCCCGTTACAAGGAATTTCATCTGTCCTCCGCCTAATTCACACCTAGGTCTCTCAGGTCTCTCATTAGGACATAATAGTGGCACCACCGATCGCAATTCGCACCACGGGTGGGTGGTGGCACTGAAGATCTAGCCAGCTCGGTAGTCGCTAGACTAAGCTAGGCTCGGTGGCTGTCTCCTTCTCTATTGTATGTGATAAATAATATAATTTGAATAAATTATAATTTATTATCATTTCCTTTCAGGGTCCCCCATGCCTACCCTGCGGTATGGACCCAGTCACGGTGCGGCGGCCCCTGATCGTCCACGACAGCACCTTCGACTACCGCCCCACCAGCTGGCCGGGCATGCTACTCAACAACCAGGACAAGAAAGTGCGGTACCAGCTCATTAACTATGAAAGACCAGTATGTTTAAATAGTATAATTATTTCCTCATAGGCCCAGAACAGACGGTGAAACGCAACTGCAACGAAACTGCAACTTTGTGATGATTCTGATGAATGAAACTGAAACTGAAAGTTTCAAACTGGTTGCGTCATGTGTGGTCTCTCAACGGACGCTATGGCAGAAACTTAGATGCAACTCAAAAGTAACTAGCAGTTGCAGTTTCGTTGCAGTTGCGTTTCACCGTCTGTTCTAGGCCTTAGTTTTAACATTAAAAGTTTGTCTCTGTTTCCAAAAACCAGGATACAAACTATTCTTATCTCATTTTCCTCGGACTCAAGAGTATCTATTCCAACATCAAAATCGGTTCAGTAGTTTAAGCGTG